CCACGCCCAGCCCTGCACAGGGGCAGAGCGGGTCGCGGTGCTGGGGGCTGCACGTGGACCCCCTTGTACCCTGCGGCCYGTGGGACCGGCCTCGGGCTGCCCCGGGACCCCCAGCCCGGGCGGGATGCAGCAGAGCCAGGGGCTCTAGGGGGGCTGGGGCAGTGGGGTTGGGGCAGAGGGACTGGGGGCACTGGCTTGGGGGTAGTGGGAGTAGGACAGCAGGCTCTGAGGTGATGGGGCTGGGGGCAGTGGGACCTGCAATGGGGCTGGGGGCAGCAGGGTCTGTATTGGAGAAGGGGGCACAGGGTTCGGGCAGCAGGTGGTGGTCAATGGGATGGGGGCAGTGGGGTCTGCAATGGGGCTGGGGGTAGCAGGTGCCTCCAGCATCGCCCCGCCAGGCCCCCGAGCCCCACATGGTGCCCAGCCCTGGCCAGGGTCACCCGGGGGGCTGCGGGGTCCCGAACCCGTCTTGAGGATGAGGAGGTGCAGGGCGTCGTCGCGCAGGTAGGAGGCGGCGGCGATCTCGTGCGTGGGGATGCGCAGGATGAGCTCCTCGTCGTCGCGCCACGTGAGCAGCAGGCAGCGCGCAGACAGGCTCAGGATGCCRTCCTGCTCGGGCGCCGTGCGCAGCGGCAGCTCCTGCAGCTGCTGCGGGCGAGCGCGCGGCGCRTCCCACACGTGCCCCCGGGCCACGTGCGTCCCACCTGGCCGTGCCACCGCCACCCGCCCACGGCACCGCCACCCAGCCACGGCACCGTCACCCCACCACGTCACCAACACCTGGCCATGGCACTGCGACCCCACCATGTCACCATCACCCCTGCCGTGCCACTGGCACCCCTGCCGTGGCACTGCCATCCTGCCATGTCACCATCACCTCGCCATGCCACCGGCACCCCGCGTCCCGCGCGCCCCTCACCCTGGCCGTGTCCAGCAGCTGCAGCACCTCGTCGCGGCTGGAGGGGTTCAGCGAGGCCGTCACCCACGTCAGCTGCCCCAGGAACTGCGGGGCGAGAGCCAGGGCAGGAGGGCGCCCGCCACCCTGCGCACCCATCGTCCTGCAGCACCCCGGGGACACCCTGCTTTCCTGGGACACCCACTATGCTGCAACACCCTGGGGACACCCTGGGGACACCTTGCTGCCCTGGAGCACCCATTGTCCTGCAACAGCCCGGGGACACCCTGCTGCTCTGGGACACCCGTCATCCTGCARCACCCTGGGGACATCCTGCTGCCCTGGAACACCCGTTGTCCTGCAATATCCCAGGGACACCCAGCTGCCCTGGGACRCCCGTCATCCTGCAGCACCCTGGGGACACCCTGGGGACACCCCGCCATGGGGGTCCCGCGCGGGCGCAGCTCCCTCGCACCCACATCCACCCTGTCCGCCGGCTCCAGGGCCTCCCTGCTGGGCCGCCCGCCGTTCCCGCGGCTCCGCGGCCGTTACCTTCACCTCCTTCTCCACGTAGTCGTGCAGCAGGACCTGGGGGTCGATGAGGTAGTCGGGCGGGTAGAGGGGCACGGAGTGGAGCGGGCGCCGGTGGCCGGTGCCKCGGGGCGCGGGGCGCCGCGCCGCCCTGGGGAACACCAGCCTCTTGATGGGCGACACGAAGCCCTGGCGGGAGGGGACGGGGTGACGGGAGCTGGGGGCTGCGGCGGGGCCGCGTGCCGGAGCCCAGCRCGGCGCCCACCTTCTTGCCCTTCTTGCCGTCGCTGTCCATGGCGCGGCCGGGCCCCCGCGCTGCCGCCGCCGCCTTTCCCGCCGCCCGGCTCCTTTGTTTTTTTCCTGTGTCGGAAACTCCACCAGCGCCGGCCCAGCTGGAGCTCGCCCAGTTCCTGCCCGCCCTGCCGGACACGGTCCCCACCCCCCCGGCTTCCCCTGGGTCCCCCGATGGCACCCAGAGCTCAGCTGCACCCATGGGTGCCAGGGGCACCCCAGCCCTGCAGCCCCGGCGGTGCCCGCGGTGTCCGTGTCACCAAAATGTGACCCTCGGATTGATTTGTGTCCCCAGGACCTGCACAGAGCAGCAGCCCCCACAGCTCCGGGGTGCAGGGGGAGCCCTGGACCCCGTGATGGATCCCAGGTGGAGCATCCACGCCCGGGCACCCACAGGTGCCACCATGGCACCTTCCTCCCACTGGCACAGACACTGGGGCATGGTGGGAGCCTGGGGAGACCTCGCACTGGGGAGCCCCCCCAGGGACCCCGTCCCCAACAGCACCCCGAAGCCCCGGGGTGCCTGGGGCTGCATTCGGGGGCTGGCGCTGCAGGGCCCGGCGGCAGCGGCAGGGCCGYGACCGGCGGCTTCCTCCGCGGCGCGGCGCATCCTGCCCGCGCCCGCGCGCCCGCCACCCCTTCGGCGCCGGCCCGCGCGCCCGCCCGCCCGCCCGCGCTGAGGAGCCCGGCCCGCACGCGCCGCTTATTGAAATGAATTTAATATCTCATGTCGCAGCAAAATTAAAAATATACAAAAAGTCCGTGGAATACAAAAAGGTCTCAGGACGGCCCGCGGCCCCGCTCCGGCAAGGTGGCACAGGGTATGTACAGCCGGCGCGAGGGTCGCCCGGGCCCCGGCCCCTGTGGCGCCTGTCCCGTGGGCAGCCCCACGGAGCCCCGGTCCCCGCGGCTCCTTTTCCCTCCGTCTGCTCCTGCTGCCCGGCGGGGGCTCTGCAGGGGGGCGGCTGCACCGGAGCCCCCGGCTCTGTCCAGCACCGCATTGCCTGGCACTGCCCAGCACTGCCCGGCACAGCTCAGCATTGCCTGGCACTGCCTGGCACGGCACAGCTCGGCACAGCTGGGCATTGCCTGGCATTGCCTGTCCTGGCACTGTCTGGCACTGCCCAGCATGGCACAGCTCAGCACATCTCAGTACAGCTCGGCATTGCCTGGCATTGCCTAGCATTGCCCAGCATGGCACAGCTCAGCACAGCATGGCACAGCTTGGCACAGCTGGGCATTGCCTGGCATTGCCAGCACTGCCCGGCACTGCCCAGCACAGCACAGCTCGGCAGTGCCTGACGTTGTCACGGCACAGTCTGGCATTGCCTGGCACTGCCCAGCATGGCACAGCTCGGCACAGTCTGGCATTGCCTGGCACTGCCCGGTGGGAGCAGGGGAGCGGGCGGCCGGCCGCCCACCCCGTGCCCGCTGCCCCGCGCACACCCGGCTGCCCGTGGGACCGTGGCTCGAATGCATAGAGAAGGGACCCGGGCTGCTGTGCCCAGCTCACCCGGCGCCCACCGGAGCTGGGCAGGAGCCGGCTCCGGGCAGCCGCTGCATCCCAGGCACACGGAGCTGCCGGGATACCAGGAGCACCAGGAGCCACCGGCCGGGGCCGCCTGCAGGAGCGGGATCCGAGCGGGATGTGCCCCGTGGTGGCAAAGGAGGCTGGTGGGGGCGGCGGGCCCGGCCGGACCCTCCTTGCTCCGCAGCCGCCTCCGGGAGCAGTTCGGAGGGGATGGGTCAGCCCCGGGGAGCAGTGGGGAGCACCGGGGGGCACCGGGGGGCACCGGGAAGCACCGGGGGGCACCGGGGAGCACCAGAGCACTGGGGACAAGCGGGTACGGGGCGGGCTGCACCGGGACACGGGACAAGGCACGCGGCGCCGCGGGTACATTCATCACAGCCCTCCGGGAGCGGCGGGAGCAGGGACAAGGACACGTTCACACCCGGAGCGGGGACGGGGACACGCGCGCACCCAGGTCTGGTGCGGCCGGGCACACCGGCCCTGGGGACAGGGACACATTCATACCCATCACACCCGGCCCCGGCACATGGACACGTTTGCACCCGCTCCGGTCCGGTGCAGCCAAGCCCGGGCCCCAGGGCCGGGGCCACGTGGACACCGGGACGGGGCCGGGGGCTCCGGGGGCAGCGGGAAGGGCAGGTCCCGGCTCAGGGATCCCGCAAAGGGGGGAGGCYGGTGCCAGTGGGGGACGGACGAGGACTCTCCGGGGCGCCCCAGAGGGTCCTGCCCCCGGCTCCGCGGTGCCGCCGGGCCCTGCCCGCCCCATCAGCGCCAGCGGAGGTAGAAACGTCACCCGTCGGGTGCAAACAAACCAAACGCCGTGAGAAGCCGTGGCCGGGGGTCCCGGCGGGGTCCCGGAGCCGTGGGGAGCGGGGATGGTGACACGGGGCCTGTCCCACCGCCCGGCCGGCCCCGCCACACGGCACCCCCGCAGCCAGGACGCCTGGGCCCCGCACAGACACCCCTGGGACACGGGGGTGYCTGCTGTGCTCCCAATGCATCCTGCTGGGTGCACAGAGCCACCTGTCCCTGGGCACCCCGCGGCGCCGGGCTCGTCCTGCACCACCCGGGAGCCTGGAGCCG